TTGAAATTCCCCCCCCCCTTTTTTCCCACACTCTTGCCTATATAACAGGCCCTCCAGCTCCCATTTCAGAGGTTACAAAATTTGGTTTAAGGCTCTTGTATTATCTCTCTCTCTCTCTCTCTCTCTCTCTCTCTCTCTCTCTCTCTATTCCAAGCTCAAAAACCCCAAACCCTACACCATTTCTACACCACCTCATAGCACCACACCTCCATCCTCCATTCCAGAAGCTTGAGGCTGATTTCCAAAGGTGAAGAACTCCCAAACTTGGCTCAAAGGTTGTTGGAGCATTGGTCTACAAGGGTGAGTCACTTTCTTCCCTTTTCTAGTCTTTTTTTGCTTTGTATATTAGCCTTAGTTGCTTGCATTTTTGGGCTCCGACCCTAACTGAAAATAGTATTATTTTGAGCTCCTTTTCATGTTTTTTTAAGGGCCTCTCTTTGTTTGAGGCTTCCTTTTTACACTTGCTTCTTTACCTCTCTTGTATGCCTCTTTCTTGCATAGTATTTTAGGCTCATTTGTAAATTGTTTAGAGCTTGGTTATAAACTGAAAAGTGGCTTATTTTGAGCCCTTATTCAACATTGTTGTAGGGCTCTTCACTATTTGAGGCTTCCTTTTGTCACTTTCCTCTTTATCCCTCTTTGGCCTTATTTTTGCATGTTTTGTTAGCCCCTTGTGCTTGTATTTTTGGGCTCCGATCCAAACTACAAATAGTCATATTTTGACACCCTCTTCATGTTTGATCAAGGGTCTTTTGCTGTTTGAGGCTCCATTTTTACACTTTGTGTTTAAACCTTCTTTTAGGCCTATTTCTTGCATAGTATTTTAAGCTTACTTGTGCACTGTTTTGGGCTCGGCCATAAACTGTAAAATACCTTTTTTTTGAGCCCCTCTTTAACTTTGTTGAAGGGCTCTTCATTGTTTGGGGCCAGCAGCTGCTACTTGCTTCTTTATCTCTCTTTTGGGGCAATTTTTGCATGTTAACTTAGCCCTATTTGTGTTTGTTTTTGGGACTTGTTATAAACTGGAAATACGTATGTTTTGGGACTTCCTTGAATCTGTCTTCATGCTTCATGATCAAATAATGCATGCTTTGTATAGCTATAGGCCAATGCATATGCCTAGTTTTGTGTTTCGGGTTCATTCCATGCATCGGGTGCCATGTTTCCATGTTTCGGGGCTGTTTTGCATCATATTTCAGCACTGAAATTTGCATGTTTGTATACCATGTTTCATGCCTTGACATGCCTTGTTAGTGTTGCATGCAATGCCTTGGGTTCGGTCCTCGGTTTGCGTGCATGTGTGCACGCATTTCGAGTGTCTCATTTTTCATCTCATGGCTACTAATGTGAGTGTGGCAGGTTTAGGTCAGGATAGAGTGGTATCAGAGCCAAGTGTTAATAACTCATACACATGTCCAAATGAGCTACGTATGCTAGGTTGTATGTTAGCGCATTGTGTATACTATTTCATAGCATTGTGCATGCTAGGTTTTATATTAGTTGCGTTCATGCATGTCATGCATATTGCATTGTGTTCGGGATAGGAGTTAGCTCGAGCACGGGAAACGAGGGACGTTTCGTACTTCGAGTGACGGAACGTGTCTCAATTCCCAGTCACCGACACTCCGGATTATCCATGATGGAGTTTAGGTTTTGTTGTGTTTATATGTGCATTCATTTCATATTGAGTCATGCAATTCGACTCCTCGGCCATCATTCAACGATATGCGTGATTGGTGGCACGAGGACCGAGGACTACACTCCCTGAAGAGTAGTCATGCATACATATGTGAAAATACTTTGCCATGCCCCTTTGTTGCTCTCTGTTGCAGCAAATCAGAAATCGACAGCCTTCCGGAGCTTGGCACGCATTCCAAGAACAATTGCAAACAGGGGCAAATCGGGGCATCACGAGGGATTCTCCGCACAAGGCAACCCGAGCATGCATCATTCATCTTCCGGAGCAGATTTGAGGCAGTCCCTGGCTTGCATGCCAATTTATTGCTTCCTAGTTTAATCTGTTAATTAATTAGGGTTTTTTAATTATTTGGATTGTATTTGGGACTGTACTATTTATTCGGACCCTCTGCGCGAGGGCAATGTTGTAATAAGTGTGCGTGTGTGTGATGTATGTCTTCCAACCCCACGTCTTTCTCCCTTTTATTTACCCGCTTATGATGGTTAGATTAGGGCATGTTTTAATTAGCATACAGTATGATAGCATGTTTGCATTCATTCATCTGTTTTGCATGCACCGGGCTCGGCGCATCATACTAACTGCATTGTATTTTCAATTCCAAGATTGAATACATGTTAGCTGTAGCATTCCATGTGCCATGTTTAGAATAGCCGAGCCTGCTATAGTTGCACTTTTGCATGCGTTGCATTAGGCATTTCTGTATAATTAGAATCATGCATGGATTTCTAATTAGCTTCTGTTTTGGCTTGGAGTACTCGGTAAGTTTTACGCTTTAGCATCCTTGCATGCGTGTGAGTGAATGCCATGATAGCATACTTACCATGAGGCTATGTGCTTATGTGATATAACTGCCTGAATGCCTGTGGGTGAAGGTTGGGTTGCTTGAGTTGGAATAATTCGTTGAAACCCATGTTTTAGCCTACTTGCGAGTAGCAAACTTCAATCCATTTTCAAAACAAACGGATATGCGATGCTTTGTTCCAACTTAGGCAATCCAGTCTATACTTGTGTGCTGTGCGCATCACATAGTAATTCTAGGCTAATAACCGGAATAAGAGCACATAATGTTTTCAAAACTCGATATCATAGTTAGTAGAGGCCGATCTTTGATCGGGCGAGCGGGGGTGCTCACGAAGTGACCTTCCCCAATCGTACCCAAGTTCCCGAGCCGAAGCAACTTTGGTGATGACGGACACGTGGCCTTAGGCAAACGAGTCAGGGTTTCCTAAATTTTCCCAAAATAAAACATTTAGGTGGCGACTCTGTATCTGGCAAAGCAGTCCATGTTTAGCACTTTTTTTCTAAAAAAATCTATTTTCTCAAAAACGATTTGCCAGATTTGGACTCTTTGGTTCAGACTTAGAACCGTGACAATTTGAGAGTCCGAACTGTAGTGAGCCCAACGGGGGGGACTCGTTCCTCCCCGGGGCGTTCGGAGGTCGTCTACAATAGTCAAAAGTGCTGGATAGGTGAAAATCACGCTCGATTGGGCGCTTGACACCCGCTCGAGCATGAGACACAACGTCCCGCTCGAGCTTCAATTATTCTGCTCGAGCGGACTTCAAAACAGTGCAAAGTACTGAGAGCACAAATTTCACGCTCGAGCGCCAGTCACCCCGCTCAAGCGTGAGTTCAAAATCTGGAATTCCCAGATTTGAACCTCAAGCTCAAATTCAACTTTTAAAACATAAATTTCGATCCTCTTGGGCCAATTTTCCAGAAAACATCCCAAAACTCATAAGTTAACATGATTCCAAAGCTTAATTGTAAAATCAAAGCCCAAGGGTGTTTCAAACAACTCAACTTCAAACCAATTTTTCATGAACATGCTACAACCAAGACATGCATGAAATCCAATTCATTTCAAAGCTTCAATTTGATGCTCTAGTGAGCCAATTGTTCCAAAAACAAAACAAAATCATGGACTTAAGCTTAATTATGAACATGCATGTGACAATTTGCCATGAAAACAACTTAAAATTCATCAATACAACCATGCATGTATGAATTAAGGTATAATTCAACATGTGAAGCTATTTCATGACTTAATCCACTAAATTTGACATGAATCATGTAAGAACAAATTCAATTCACAAACAAGAGGGTAATTACACTACCTTAGGTCTTGTATTCAAGGTCTAGGAGCTCAATTTGACAATTCTCTAACAATTCCTTCAAGTCTTCTAGCCAAACCCTCAAGATCAAGTCAATTCTCTCACTCTCTCCCTATAAGGTCGGTTGTAGACAACAAAGGGTTGATGAAGTGTTTGTGTCAAAAGTATGCAAGCCTCTAAATGTGTGAGATAGTGGCCACTGAGTGGCATTTTGGCAATTAAGTCCACCTAATGCAATTTAGCTTAATTTAATCTAGTTTAATCATGCCTAATTAGTTTTCAGATAATTACACCATTAAATCACATAAATTCTACTGATCATGGAACACTAATCAATTTCCGGTTCGGCCGCCGATAAGGCCTTCAATTCGCAATTTAAACACAAAAACATGAACAGATAATTGAACGAAAAACAGATAGATCTACCATTAAACAGATATGCTCAGTCAATTCAGTTCCAGATTTCAGTCAGCCTGTTCAGTATTTCAGTTGATTCAATTACTTATCAAAATCAGTTTCAGTTTAACATTAATCGATGGTTAATCGGTAAACAGTGACAAGGGTTGTTACAGAGACTGATGAAGAATATCACAATCTCATCAACAGGATGGAAGCATAGTAAACCCCACTATCAAATGCAGCTGTCTCCTGATCGACTCCAACCTTATCCAGGACACGTGGAACAACCTGCGTTATTTGGCGGAAAGTGATCAGCCACATCCTTTCAGCCGACGCTACACGACAAATCAGCTCAGCCAAAGCTTATCTACAACAGTCTATTTCTTTGAAAATCGGAGAGGGTAGACAGTGTGTATCTGTGTATATAATTGTAAAAACTGTAGCAAAGAGCAAATAATTGTAGTCATTTTGTATTTATTTTGTCTCTTTGTATTTACTTTTAGGTAGATTTTTCAAAAAGCCTATGACTAGGCTTGCCTAAAGAGTTAGAAAAATTGGCAACTTTTAGACGTAAAGTCTTACAAAGTTAGATATGTTAGATATGAAGTTAGATATGCAATAAGTTATATTTTGTTTGTATTTCCCTCTTGTAAGTCTATATATTGGCCTTTATGCCAACATAATGAGATATGTAAATTCCCTCCAACTTCTCTCCATCTTCTGAGTAGTAACTTGGGGTGAAACATATATCAAACATATGACATTTGAATCAATTTTCACTATAAATATAAATTTCCAATAAATGGTTACATAAATATAGCTTATTTGAAATTACAATCAAGACCAACAGCTACACCGCATCTTAAACAAGTTTCATGAAAAAAAGAAAAAGAAAACAAACAACTCAAGTGCAAAAAGATAAATGATTCAGGACACGATACGCAACTCAAGGGAAATGGTGCTGAAACATGATATAACAATGGGCGGAAATAAATCAACTATGTAGGTGAGAATTTAACGCCTCCCAGATGCCACTGATTCAGCAGAGAAGAGGTACTTCACTCGTGAAAGAACAGAATCATGTGTAGGATCGTAAGGATGGTCCTTGGAAGGAATCTCCAAAATTGCTGGCACTGGCTTATTGTAGCTATCCACTAGAAACCTTATCATGTTTGCAACCTGAAGATGAGCAGAGGGTGATGTTTTGTTTCAGAAATCAGATGAGAACTGAAAAGGCACAGCAATGCAAAATCCAAGTCCTCACTTGCCTCTTACTACCATTACTACTAACAAATGTGTGGGACTTGGTCATTCATCTGCTAATCAGCTTTTTGATAGTCAGGTTTTTTCAACTTATTTAAATTATTTATGCCCAATAAACTGTAAGCATAAGCAACACTAAACAATCTAACATAGACTTTCTAAATAAAATAAAAACTATAAGCAGCTTAGATAATTTGCACCAAATAGCCAGAATATTCTGAAACCCTGACTGTTGAGCAAACAGAAAAGTAAAAGTGAATTGTGACCTATGATAAGTGAATGTTATGTCACTAGCAAAGTTAAAATTATAGCCATAATGGCCTGTAGCAAAGTCATTGACATTCCTTAATTGCCAGAAAATAAATAAAACCCACTGTCAAATGCCATACGATATTAGTATGTGTAAAAAGTGCATGTTTAAAAATTCAATTTTTCCATGATGAAGAAGAAGAAACAAAGAGCATCTTATGGTTCTTGTGACATGTCTGATATGATATGGACTTTCACCATTTTAGTCAAATTTCTTAATTATCATATGCATAACAGAGGAGGAGCATATAAACCAATTCAAAAATTGACATTATATAATAAACAAACTTACAAATTGACTGATCATCACTATTGCAATGTCCTCTCTTGTTGTGAACTCTTTGAATGCATCCTCAATTTGTTTCACCGTTGTTTCTAAACCATAATAAAATAATCTCTGTAAGCCAAGGTAAGAATATCCAATAATTCAATCAAATCAACACTGGAAAAGAGAAGGTTATATACATTGTGAAAAGGATAAAGAGAGAAAGAACAACATTTGGAATCTTATAACGTTCGTCCAAGCCCATATAGTTATCAAGTCAAGAAAAGAAAAAGAAAAAAGAAGTCCCCTTTCTCGTCAACTTAAAAGAAAATTTTGAATTTCCTTAAATCAACTTTTAGCTGTTCATTTTAAAGGAAGGTGTAACATGGCTGCCGCAGGGGAAAAAATCTACAACACAACGGACCCTGGGTAACAGGTGGGTGAGCTTGATTGAGAGAGTGAATCCATTGTTGGGAAATGATAAAACTCACCAATAATCCAAATAGGGTATGCTGACCAACAAGTTGCATTGGGGATAGTTTTTCAATCTATTGGAGGCTAGTATTAGCCATTTGTTCTAGTGAGAATCACTCTGAAGAAACAACTATCATCAAAAGCGATTTATATTATTACTGAGTTCAATCTTTCAGGTAGGAGGGATTGTTCATTCTTTTAGACTTTAAGGCCACCCAAAAACCAAAAGAAAAGGGAATGTTCATTCAGAAAAGTGGAACCAAAGGAAAAGTTAAAACAATGAACAAACAACTTCCTAAATAAATTATGGTTGATCATATAAATTCTATGATATTACGCACAAAATATTAAAAAAATTCGTAACATTCATAGCTAAAAAACGTACTCGAGTCCACAATAAGATAATTTGTCTTCCTTTGCAAATCCACATTGCCTACTCCAGCCAGTAAAAATCCAGTTACTGTGTCCTACATCAGATAAGTTACAAATCAGATAAACTCTAACAGTAGGAGGACCATTTCAGGAGACATCTTAAAGAACTCAACAATGATAACACGCTGACACAAAGATGAAACAATGAGCAAATTGAAACATAGCTGATGATAGATGTATGAGCAACTTGGCAAGCCATATGATTAATAATGTATCTACAATCTACATTTATCCCATCATGAAATCATAAAGAGAAGAGATAAAATAAATCAACCCCACAGACTGACAGAGTACTTGCAGCATGCTAGTTTGCACTTGAACATTAGAGAGAGAGAGAGAGATTAAGGCTCCATTCAGTTTAGTTTTTAAAATGAGTTTTGAGTTGTATTTTGAAAGATAAGTAATTGAAAAGAGTTTTGAAAATTGAAAATTTGTTTGGTTATGAGTGTGAAAATAGTTTTGGGATGATTTGTAGTTTATTTTTTAAATTTTTTTTAGTTGAATAGATGGGTGTGAGAAATTTGATTGATTGATATGCAGAATGTGAGAGAATGAGAGAGAAGAGAGAGAAAAAAAATTTGAAAGGAGTTTTGAAAGTCGGTTAACCAAACATGTTTTTTGCTTTTTTGATCCAAAAGTTAATTTGGAAACTAACCCAACAGTACCTAAGACATTCATAACCACTTCCTCTATGTAGAAGGGTTGAAATTTGAACATACCACCAAAATTGCCTTGGCGGGAAGAACACTTTTGAAAAGGGAAATGGGCAAAATTCTAACAAAAATGGGTGAAAAGCAAACCGCAAATAGTCTGTGAACCAACCCATATGAGAACCATTGCAGGAACCGCAAGGCCACCCCAAAAGGAGAGGTGAAACTAACTGAGGTAAGACTTGCTGAGGTGAGACCAACTAAGAGAAGACTTACCGAAGTGCAACCAGCTGAGGGAAGACTTACTGAGGTACAACCAGCTGAGGTGAGACCAACCGAGGCACAACTAGCCGAAGTGAGACCAGCTGAGGCAAAACCCTCTAAGGCGAGAAAAGCCCTCGAGGTAAATTAAGTTCCTGAGGTGCCCCCTAAGGGCCAAGGTCCCCTTAGAGCTGATAGCAGGCTCAGGGTATCAAAATGACATAATTCAGAACCACAACTCTCATGAAGATGCAGAATGCAAGATATGAAAGTTAGGAGTCTCCTTCCCATAAAATTATCCAGGCCAAAGGAGCCTACCTCGGTCAAGATGGCAAGACCCAGGAAGTCCACGAGGTATAGTCTAGTTGATACAAGGCTACACTGTGATACTTTACCAGGATGTTGGGGAGCTTGTGGCTTGGTGGCTAAGAGTAGGGGTTTGCTGAAGTAATTGCGAGTTTGGCTGATACAGGCTACATTTCCCAAGTAAGGTTTTACCGGGTGACGTCCTACCAAATGAGTTCCTACTAAGAGACTTAGGTAGTGCCTAAAGTGAAAGACAAAGGGAAGCACGTACTCACCGAGGCGTTGCATCTAGGGAAAGGAATATGCCCACGTGATCTCTGAGACATGTAGCATCACCCTATTAGCTACTTGGCCACTTGTGAGCCAGGGAAACACCTACAAATAGGAGTCATTTCCCACATCTCTAGGGTGATGATTTGGGGATTCCCATAAGCTTGAGAGACTTTTTGGGATCCTCGTAGCCTGATGAGAGTGAAACTGGCAAAAAGAGGGAGCCTCACCACTGCCATTACCTTTCCTGATTTGCTTGCCCTGCTCTCACCCAGCGACTCTCTCCTCTGTCCCCTGCTTACTATTCAGATTACTTGCCTCACTGATGATACATATTCTTGTATGAACACCATACATTTTCCGACCTCCTACACTCCAACACAGTGGACTACCCTATAACACATGAACATAATTGCTATGAGCAACTAAAATCATGCAGTAAATTATGTAGTTAAGACCATTCAACTTGGCTTATTTGATGTCAATTGAAAAGGAATTGAAGCCAAATGGACATAGCTTTTCAGGTTCATAGGCTCATACCCTCATAATACATCTTCTGCACATGGGCAACTGTGGGAGCCAAGTTTTGCTCTCACTAACTCAGCCACAGCACATTTGCAACTCCAGTTTAGAAAATGACGGTTGATGAGGACTGCGTGAAAGAAAAAAAATTGTGCAATGAAAGGATAACTCATAAAGAGAAGCCCTCAACAAGTCACACTCACCAAATCTTCTTTTGAAAGAAAAAACTTGTGCTGTCTTTATTACGTGAAGAAAGATAACCACAAACTCAATCGAGCAAAATATTAAGCTGGCACAACGACAAGATACGCCACAAGGTAGCATCTTTTGTAAATAGAAATGACAACAAACTCAATCAAGTAAAAAATAAAACTAGCCTAATGCGAAGATATGCCACAAGAGAGCACATATATTTTTGTAAAATTAAATAAAATAAAGGAGTCACATACCACATAAAATTCATCCACTTTAGCATATTTTAAACAATGGCAGACCCAACAAGGCAACACACCTTAGCATATTCCACTTCCCTCCCTCTCTCTCTCTCTCTCTCCTTGACAGAATGTTGAGTATATATTGCAAATAAAAACAACCACCGGTCTATATCAAATGATTCTATAATCATCAAATCTTTCAGTTTTATTTTATTCTACATATAAACCCAAGTAGAAATCTCTACAAGACAAACATAATGCAGATACTCTAAACACTGAGATTCTAAAACCTTTTCCTTCAGTTTTTCTGCTATGCACTAATATTCTAAAAAAAAAGTATGATAACCACATTAAAACTACAATGAATATTAGTGTCAAACAATTATATTCAGAAACATCTACGGCATATAATTTCACTACTAAAGCACATAGACAGCAAGTGCAAGATTCTTACCTCATCAGCAATCATAGCAATGAGTGCTGAGTTTCTTGAAGGAATTTGAGCTTTGTTGGCCATTCAAATAAATAATAAAAACTACAAAAGAAAATTTATGAGAATATCAGATATTGCTGTGAATAACTCACTTAAAAACTCAAGCTAAAAGCTATACATAGAAAATGTGCTAAAGTCATATTGTACATCCAATGAAAAAGAAGCACTATAGAAAATAAATGTGAAGGCATGCAAGTGCATCACTTAAAAACTCAAGCTAAAAGCTAAACATAGAAAATGTGCTAGAGTCATATTGTACATCCAATGAAAAAGAAGCACTTTAAAAAATAACATGTGAAGGCATACAAGTGCGATTCTTTGCACAAAATAACGTGTATAGGCATGAAAGTGCATTGCCATAGATGATTTTTGAGCAAAGCACCAAATAGCCATGAAAAGAGGTGACAACAATCCATAATAGATGAATCCCCTGCAGTTCTGGCATATTCAGAAACTTTATTCTATTTGCTCTGGAAAATTATATCTGTTTGGTTCAAAGCCAAAATCAATAACTTAGTTTTTATCAAAACAAAGTTTGTTTTTATTTAAACATACTATGAAAGCTGTTTGTATACAATTGTGGGTGGGAGAGAGACTTGAAGAGGGATAGAGAGGAGGGAAAAAAAATGATATTAGAATGCAACATTTAAAGAAAAATTGTGAATTTATTTGGCATATTTGTGTAGAACAAAATAAAGAATAAAATAAAAGATTTTCATAGTAGTAATTTTTTTTTTTTTTTGATAGATAAAAATTAAATAAATTTCCATAGTAGTAAAGTTGATGAGTTTTAGTACATATCATGTTGGGAATCAAGAGAGAGGGGGATTGAAGACGAATATTAGGAGCAAGAAAAATCAACTGAATGATTACGGATTTGATTAGGAATTTTAGGAGATTTAGGCCCTGTTTGGTGGAGCTTTTTTTTTAAGTTAAAAGCTGATAATCAGAAAACAGAAGCTAAAAGCACTCTTATCCCAACTTCCAAATGATCAGTTTTTTTCAGCTTATTTACGCTATTTTTGTCTAATAAACTATAAGTAGAAGCTGTACCAAACAGTCTGACACAGACTCCCAAATCAAAATAAGTTATAATCACCCCCAAAAACTGTAACAACCAGTCCCTTAGTCTTATTAGGATGTTGATTCTATTTTTTGACTTATTTCTAGTTTATTTTCCCTTACTATATAACGCTTTTAAACTTATATGTGGTGCTGCATCACTTCACCTACAAATTAATTGGAGAAACAAGGAGTAGAACTATTGAATAGCTATGTAAATATGAATTATAATGTCAAACAGGAGAAAATTGTGTATGTGTGTGTGTGTGTGTAAATAGAAAGCATTAAAAATCTAGATCCACAATCTGTCGGCAAATTCAACCTTTTCCCCACAAATCTAATTGCAAATTTCAAACCAAAAACCTAGAGAAACCTTCCATGCCAAAACCCAATAGAAACATATATATATATATATATATTTTTTTTTTTGAAAACAACAGCAATCTGTCACCAAACTAAAAACCATAACAAACCCTAGATCATGATCTGATATATAAGCCGCATGCCTGCAATCACCAGGTGTGAATGGGAATGCAAAGTTCATCTTATGGTGGCCAATCACTAGTGTGATGAGAAGAAACTTATCATGAGCAAGTGGATTTTTAAGTGAGAGTAACACGAGTAAAAGGGGGTGACCTTGGTTCAATGGTAAAAACCTAAGCCTAATAACCTTCAGGTTATAGGTTCAAGTTTCGGGGCAACTACTTTGTGCCCTATGCCAAAGGTTAGATATGTACTCAATCTTTCCCCTCCTAAACACAAATTAATGTTGACTAATTGGGTTTTTTAGTAACACAAGTAAGGAAGAACTACCTCCCCCGTGTTTCGCATGTGTCCTCATTTCCACCCATAATAAGGGAAGTTACCAAACAAAAGACACAATTTCAACAAACTGGTTTTGGGGTTTACCAACAACCCTTCATAAGAAGCTTTGTTCTATAGAATTAGACATTGGGGATACTTTCTTTTTTTTTTTAGTCAGATTCTATGCATACTTGAATACTCCATCATCATCGATCTCTCCCTAATAAGAGTAGATTTGTTATTTCAAAATTGAAAACTCCAATGCTTTCTACCTATAATAGACAAACATACACATACATATACATGCATATACATATGCGGAAAATTATTAGGTACTCCAGGAGTATCACGTGGCTATGCTCCCTCACTAATCATCATTCATTATGCCCCTCTTATTTCTTAATTACCCAACACAAAATCAAATACCTCACCTTCTCCACCAATTACTACCAAGAAGTACGACATGGTTGTACTTCCGAACTACCCAATAATCACTCTACATATGCATACATGTGTATATATATTGTATACACTCATAATGAACAATTTTGTTTTTTGATAAGTTAACAGTCAATATTGGTCAATGCTATGTTACCTGAAACATGGATCATTCTGGTATATGAAACTAGAATGGGAAAGTGGTATGCTACATACTCTAAAATGTGGTACTATACTACACTTAAAAATTTAAGATATTTGTAAAGAAATTTTCTTTTAACTATTAGGCATCCAATAAAATGTATTTTTAATTTTCTTTTACATTTTTGATATTTTTGTCCTGTCAAAACTTAACTCGCTTTATATTTTAATTCATTATATTTGATTTTTTTTCCTCTTAAGAAAATATTTAAGGAAATATATTGGAAAAAAAATTTTGTCATCATTTTGGATCACTAAATTTACTGTTTTAGAATGGAAGTGCACCATGTTTCAGAACGAGCGTACCAATACATAATTTGCTAGGGTATTAACGTTTTCTAGTAACACAGAGTCAATGTACATCCGCGTATTCACACACACACACAACAACAACAACAACAACAACATAATACTTGGGGAAGTGTAGATTTGAAACACCAGAACTCAGTAGGGCATTACACTAAGAAGAGGGCATAACTCAGATCAAGTAATGGCAAAGTGCATCTGTAAGTTGGATTATGGACCGAGGGTCTAAGCGCAACAGAGCTAAAGATGATCAAGGCTTTCTTTATGTTTTTCCCTTCATTTTTCAGAGACTGCTTAAACTATTGTTTTCTTTAAAACATGCTTAGATCTTCGATTAGGGTACAAATTTGTGAAACATAAGGAAAAGAAAAGGAATTTGTGAATGAAATATTTTCACAAATCCCATCCTTTTTCTTTTTTTTTAATAAATTTAAATATTTAAATACGGCCATAAGAAATCGGGTTTTCAGCATACAGGAGAGACATAATAAGAGTATCAAAATTTTCAACATTACAAAAAAGAAAGCGAAAATCCTGTATGTTCAACCAATTAACTGTAAATTAATCACAATTGTAAGCACATATAAAAGAATGATAAAAAATTGGAATAAATTCATAGGAACACGCATTCAACAAACAAGAAGGTTTGATTTGAATCTACAACATTGGATTTAAAACAAACAAACAAATAAAACAACGAATTTCAGAGGCAAACCTGTCGTTTCGATTGTTGTACTCGCCTCGGATTGCTCGAAAATCAACAAGAGCGAGTGAGCGACTGAGCCAACTTCAACTGATTAATCGATCCAGAGAAAGAGAGTAACCAAACGACAGCGTCTGGGATACCCTTGGGCAAATGATTATGGAACTGTTTTTATATTAGGACTTTGCCCCTAAATTCTGGTCTAATTCCCACTTTGGTTGTTACATTTTTTTTTAATTTTATTCCTAAAATTGTCTAATTTTCTCAATGTGATCTAATTAGCAATTGATATTTGGGTAAGTTCGAAAGTTACAATACGGCAAAAAAAAAAATAAAATAAAATTAAAAATTAAAAAAAAAAAAAAGAGTCAAGTTGTGTTTGGTAGAATTTTATAATTTGATAATAGAATTGTATTTTGAATTTGTGAGTTTTGAAATTATGATTTGACTGTGAAAATTTTGTTTGGTTATGAGTTTTGAAAAGAGTTTTAAATTGAGTTTGAATTAAGTGATGTGACATATGATATTTGATACAAAAATTTACAACTTATAAATAAATACACAACCCAAAATTTTATTCAAAACTCTGTTGGCTTTTTGGCTTTCGAAGGTTATTTTTGTAATTGCGAGCGTGCCAGCAAGGATCAATCAGTCCTTACAGAAATTTAATTGCCAACCAATTATCAGACGATTGTGTTTTTGTTCTCTTAGCCTCAATGAAGAGAACTTTTACTGGTGGCTTGATTTAGGAGAATTAAACAAAATATCAATCAAATGAAGAACAATTGAAGCATTATATTAGAATGAAAAATTTACAATGATCCAAACTCAGTCTCATAGAGGTTGACAGCGACAATCTACTTGAAACTACTCCTATGAACGAAGTGCAGTGCAGAAATTTAAAGTACAGGAATATAAAGAACATGAATGTAAAACTAGTAAAAAAACTAAGTAAAGTAGAATAAGACTGGTTTTTTGGATCTGAGTCTGAGGACCTTTTCTGGGGCATTTCTCTGTTATTTATGCTGCTCGAGAATGACCATCGAACTGCATTTCCAACCGTCGAACTGCTCCTCCATGATTGCTGATCATGTTGCCTCAAGATTAGCTCCATTACGCCATTACTTGCAGTTAGGCTTCCCTCATAAATTTGAATTTAAATGTGAGTAACCGTTGATGCCACATCACTTTGTATCTCTTTGTTGATCTACTGCTACTCAGATCTCGTAATAACCAATACTAACTGCCACGTGTACGATCAGGATCGAAGATTTGAATAGTCTTCCTATATTATCCTTATTTTGCCACGCGTCAAATTGTAATTGACTTGCACAAAATATGTAGCCAACATTACCCCCCGCACTAATATATCCAGTACTTGGCGATATTAGTGGATCAAGGTCCTTTTCCCACGTCTTAGAATGTACATGGGTTTTGCATCCTTCCAGAAATGCAACTGTCATTCATCATCTGTATTAGACTCTCCTTCAATCTTTTGAATACCCCCACTACCTTAGAATGATAAAAAATTGGAATAAATTCATAGGAACACGCATTCAACAAACAAGAAGGTTTGATTTGAATCTACAACATTGGATTCAAAACAAACAAACAAATAAAACAACGAATTTCAGAGGCAAACCTGTCGTTTCGATTGTTGTACTCGCCTCGGATTGCTCGAAAATCAACAAGAGCGAGTGAGCGAGCGAGCCAACTTCAACTGATCAATCGATCTAGAGAAAGAGAGTAACCGAACGACAGCGTCTGGGATACCCTTGGGCAAATGATTATGGAACTGTTTTTATATTAGGACTTTGCCCCTAAATTCTGGTCTAATTCCCACTTTGGTTGTTACATTTTTTTTTAATTTTATTCCTAAAATTGTCTAATTTTCTCAATGTGATCTAATTAGCAATTGATATTTGGGTAAGCTCGAAAGTTACAATACGGCAAAAAAAAAAATAAAATAAAATTAAAAATTAAAAAAAAAAAAAAGAGTCAAGTTGTGTTTGGTAGAATTTTATAATTTGATAATAGAATTGTATTTTGAATTTGTGAGTTTTGAAATTATGATTTGACTATGAAAATTTTGTTTGGTTATGAGTTTTGAAAAGAGTTTTAAATTGAGTTTGAATTAAGTGATGTGACATATGATATTTGATACAAAAATTTACAACTTATAACCAAATACACAACCCAAAATTCTATTCAAAACTCATAAAAAATTTCACAAATATTTTTTTTTAATATAAAAATAATAGGTGAAAAAAAATATTTAAAAAAAAATAAACCGAACACTGTTCCGGTCAACCGGCCAAACAACCGGTAAGATGTCCTGTGGGATGACCAGTTAGCTCAAATTTTCCTGCCTTGGAAAGAGTTTTCAAAAATGAGTATAAAATTAATTTTTAAAAACATTAAACAAACACCACACTTAAAAATATGTGTGAAATTATATTTTGAAAATTCCACCACACAAAGCCACCTTTAGCATATTTAACTTTGGTGGTTTAAGTAGTAGCTAAATTACTAAACGTATTGCTATATTTTAATAATAAATAGTGTTAACAAACTAAAATTTAACAAATGTTGTAAATCAGATCCAAAAAAAAAAAAAAAAACAAATGTTGTAAATGTTATTTTTTCTGTTTTTCCCAAATAAAAAATATTATACACAGATCAAATCTTTGAAACAGGTGACAAAAGAAGTTGCCAAACTTTATGCCAAATTTAATTTGCGATGTTCAAATCTAAGAGTTTCTTTGCTTTAAACAAATAGTAGGAAACTCAACTTTTTTTTTTTTTTTTCTCTCTCAAACAACCAAAGCTACCATATATTAATAGGAGTAGCTTCCGGACAGGAGGGTGTTGTTGGACTCGTGGGGGCTCAATCGTTCAATATGTAAAACTCATCGAGTACTATATACCTGTAAAAAATCACGTAAATCAGATATCGACAACTATGTGATCAAATTAGTTTTGTATAAAAAAAAATGACAGTGAACAAATTATCTATTGATAGAAAACTGATCCAATAAGATAGCTATCAATATCCAATCAATGTGATTTTTTACAGGCATATAATACTCGACGAGTTTTACACATTGAACAGTTCAAATTATCGAAACGAGACCCGTGATATACCCCCACAGGCCCAATAACGTCCGATCTAAGACTGGAGGGAAGGTGCTGCCCACTAATATTTTTTTTAACTTATTTTACCGAATCAATAATTTAAAGACCAAGTCGAGTGTGTGACACTCTGTCCTTAAAACAGATTCGCCCCGCTACGGTGCTTACGGTTATGTGGCGTCTAGGATACAATGATCTTCACAAATTTGTAGTAGCACTTCAAACAAATTTGTTCGACGAACCAGAACCTTGTGTTCTATAACTCTCTGAAATTTTTTCTAAAATAATATGAAGAATAAAGGACGCAAGAGAGCAAAATGAAGGCAAGGAAAATGAATTTTCGGAATCCATCAAAATTGGAATGGAGCTGCCTTTATATAGGCTTTGTTAGCACCTATTCAATTTGAATAGAAAAGGTATGAAGAATGGACATACCCATTCCTTTAAAATAAAGAGACACCATGAAAGGTTTGCACCCTTTCATTCAAATGGATGTTTGACCCTTCTTTTAAAACAAAAAGACATCATAAAAAGTTACACCTTTTCATTCAAAATAAAGTCTATTTCAATTCACAACTACCTCTTTATAAATTTTCCAACAGTTCACACTAATTTCCCTCTTTCTTTTTTTTCCCCCTTTCTTTTGGGAGGTGGAGATGCTAAGCCGAATCAACCGAGTAATACAACAAAATTACATCAGCATACTACAGAAAAAATGTAATGTTCCAAGCGACCGCAACACAAAGTAAGAACGATTATGTTCTACAAGTTGAAATTTATCAATGCAGGATTTTGAGGCCAGATTGAACACCCGATTGAACTTTGCCAAAGAAATGGGTTTCCAGCCTGCGCAACAACCAGTCTAAGGTTAGAATTACAATCTTTCATCTTCTTCTTGATGAGTATAACAACTATGCAATAGTATCAAAGTGAAAAAAATAATCAAAAAAGTAAAAATAAAAAAATTTGGGGAGTGAAGAGCACCATGCCTGCTTGCGCATTTATAATAGATCGTTTCAGGAGAGTTGTAAGTGCGTGCATTACCAAACATCCTCTTGACATCAGCAACAAACATCTCAAAAGTTACATAATATTGCTCCGACTTCACTCGCTTCGACATTGTTTTCAAATCTGCATGAATATCCCAAGCATCACAATTTCAATACACAACGGGCAAGCCAAACTTTAAAATATATATATATAAATCTCAAACGCAACAGCACAATAAGTGAAGATAAACTTAATGTGCCCAACTATTATCACACCTCTGTGACTTTCAAGTAGACCTCAATTCACAAGAACCGCCAGTTAAGAGAATCTTTGAACTAAAAGGCCTTTAAGAGACCAGCAGTTATTTTAAGCAACCACCAGCTCAAACTATGTAGAGGATGATTCTAGATGGTTATAGTTTGACTCGTTTATGTTATTTATTATGACAATTTTTCTACACCAAAGTCACATATTACACTATCGAAGGCAGATGGCCATAAACAAATTTTTAAGCTAGTTGAGCTGCATCTAATATCCATGGCTGAAATAAGATAATTAGTTCATTGGCCATACACAACCATACTATAATGAACTTCCAAAATGTTTGGACCAAATCAAGATAGAGAGGGAAAATGGTATCAGTTTAGTTGAACTGGTCTTATAGTTCAAAAATTCCACAAGCCTGTTGTTGATATTTTCTTTTTCCTTTTTTTTTACTTTTTTTATTTTTTTCTTTACCCTCCCAATTAACTAATTGATGTTGTAGTTGACCATGCATAACATTTTATTAAGTAATCCCACAGCTTGAGCAACTGAACTTTCACATAAAACTGAACTTCAAAACTTTGATTACAAATTTTTCGTGTCATCCCAGGAATGGTTGTTAAAATCATACAATTCACTATTCAATTCATACGATTTGATATGAGTTTCGTATAAAGGATTTGAATCGTGCTGTTGAATTGGAACCTAAGTGAATCTTTCAATTCAACTTGTGATTCACTACAATTCGTTGCGCCTCTATTTTTGTCTTTGTTTACATAATGCATAAAATGATGTCATTTTCACTAAACTATTAAGATATATAGAAGAGATTGATTAGTTATACTAACATACGCGATTTTATATGTATACACATATATACAATTTAGTTATATTGCTAATTTACTTTATTTTAAACAGTGTATTTTTATTAGTATATAAATATATAAAATTTCATATCATATTAAATAAATGAATCTTACGAATCATGATTCGATATTATTCATGATTCACTATTTTAGCAAACAATTCACTATTTGATTTGCGATTTGACAACAATGAATGATCCCAGGTGTATTGCAAAGATTGATGATTTTCAAAAACACGTTAACAGGATAGGCATCTCAGTAACTAAAAAGCAAATCAACCAGTAATAACTATGCAATTATACATGCCCCAAATGACAACTGGCTACTAGTTTAACAGGAAAAAAAAATGACAACTGGATAAATACAAGAGAAACTTCGATGACATAAGCCTACAATTCCAAAATAATCTCACCAAATCAGTAAATCTTAGTCAGACATCATTAAATGGGAAAAACTAACATAGGTGGTTAGAATGAGAAACATTATTCTTACCTATGGGATCTTTAATGATGTCATAATAGTCAGGCACATCACGTGCATCAACATTATTCTTACCCAAAGATGAATATTAAAAAATAGAGGGGTTGTCAAATTTTTGTTCTTATCCAATAGCTGACCTCATAAAAGGGGTTCAGAAAATATATAATTAAACAGAAAAGAGAGAAAAGAAAAAAAGAGAGAGAAAGAAACGGAAACAAAGCAAAGAAGAAGACAACCATACAGGGAGAAGAACGAAGACGATGAGACGAAGGAGAAAAGAGAGAGAGAGAGAGCTACCTGCGAATCTGCGATTGCTTCAATATGGGCATTCAAAAGCTTCGACAGCTTCGCCTAGGGTTTACAAGTGAGCGACTTCTTCTCCCTCTCTCTCTCTCTCTCTCTCTCTACTTGCAATGTCCCTCAAGTGTCTGTGAGTGTGTCCGCAAAGTGTCCGATTGGAAAAATAAAAAAATAAAAAAAAAAACTCTAGAAGCGTTAGAGAGAGTGTCCGACACGCGTCCATCGCATGTCCGTGTCCAACACGTGTCGGACACCCATACGTTGCTGCTGAAGAGGTGTCCGTGCTTCATAGGGCATCAACATTTTCCACTTTGTTTCAAGAGTGAAAGCATTACGTTTTATTCAAAAGCTTAATACATCTAATTAAGGCTTACCAAAGTTACTTCATGCAAAAACAAACTCAACAATTTCAACATCAACCTTAATTTTGTGAAAAACATACCCATGCCACCGTTCTTTCTCTAAGTGAATCTCTTTCGTAAAGCCCTACAAATTGATACACAAAGTAGATACATTATTTAAATGAAATCCTCTATTCAGGACTGTGTACATAAAAAATTCTCGACCAAATAAGGTTAGCAAACAAATAATACAGAACTATTAAAACTGAGAAGATTGACCCACTTTCCTAGTAGTTAGCTGTTGCCCATGGATATTAATGCAGGGCATCAGTATGCTTCTATTCACAAATGACAAAACCACATAAAGAATTATTCTTCTGACTCACATTGTAGGGGAAAATTTTTTTTTCTTACTTCATTGCTCCCTCCGTGCTTCTTCCTTTTAACAGTAAAGCATCAATAAAAGGGAGGCATCCCGAGTCGATGTTCATGTCAAAAAAACTTTAACCCAACAAACTCCCATTTGGATTCTCAAGAAGGAAAGAAAGTTGGATTCATACAGGGCCAAAAATAAAATGGAATCTTATGAATCCAAATTAGATTCCAAAACAAAAGCCAAAAAGCACAATAAGACAAGTATTTTACCCCACAAGATATCTCCAATCATGCAGAACATCAACTTGAACCAGAGCGAGCTGACCGGGCAGCTCGACCCCCGTAATAATCAGCGAAGTGGCAATCTTGAAAATATTTGCATCACAAACTTCTCTGAAAGGCTCAATTCGGGTTGGATTCGCATCTAAACACTCATAGCCTTACTGAATAAATGTGCGAAAATAAATACAACTGAAAGGAGTTTTGTCAAACGGGATTGCCAAGAATAAAACCTAACAGATGGAATAGTTAAAAAGTTATGACAATCTAATAGCCCAACCCAGTCAACTGACAGTGATGCTTTGGATTCACAAATTACTTTCGAAGGCAGGCTTCCTCGTAGTTTGTAGATAGACACTCCCTCTCATCTTTTTAACAGAGCAAATTTCATGCAGTGTTAATCTTACCATCTTTACAATGAGAATATACAAACAAAATCTTATAAAACAACTTTTTTGTGCCTCTCAAATTGATCGTGAACTGAACAAGTGAAATCCCCATATACATGAAAACCACAATCCAAAAGGGAACAAAAAGGACCAATCCCGTTTAATGAAATAACCAACGGCATTATTGTCAGCGTAAGTCAGAAAATGAGTTAGCCTGTCAACGTCACGAGCATGCTGCTTTAAGTGATTCATCAGTCTCGTGCCATAACCTTTTACTTGTTCATCTGCTGTGATTGCACAAAATGCTATCTCCACAAACATTTGGCTAGAGCAATAAAAAGACTGTTAGTGGAGAAGCAAAATAGGCATCTTATATGGACAAAACAAATTAAGGACTATTGACAGGAATTCCAAATATTTTACATTTCTTCCTATATTAGTTATAAAAGATTAACAGACAACATAACAATCAGACTCCCAAATCCACCACAGCTTGAAATTGAATTAGTGTCATTGAGATCAAACCTCTGTCCCAACCTCTATATGCTATATGGGACCAAGAATTCACTTATTGAATGATTAGCATATTTATAGTGGCTAGGAGTAAGTACAATTAAGTAATAATAGATAAATACATCCATGGAAGGCTGTCTGTCAGCAGGTACAGAAAGCTAACAACCAGACTTTTTTCTTTTTTTTTGGGGCAGGTACAGAAAGCTAACAACCAGACTTTTTTTTTTGGGGGGGGGCAATTACAAATCAGGATAGTTGACCAAAGTAATTACAAATACATGAGGATGAAACTCTTTCCTGTGTAAAAGAACACAACAAAAGTTGTACTCCACAAAGATTACCACCCGTCTGTAAATATTTGCCCCACCTCCCATGGATGGGTAATTTCCCCTTCTTTTTTTAACCCAAAAAGTTATTATTTTGAGGGCGTTACAATGAAGCTGCAGGAAGTGCACAAACAAGTAGAATACCTAGTCCTAGTAATAGTAACCGACTAACACACATACGCGTACACATTACCTCACATAAAGACGGTATGTTATGCCACCAACAACCTGATTACGTCTGATAACCATTACAGATTTATGGTTCCTGCATCAGAAACAATGGGAAAAGTATATAAGAATACTCTTAGTAATTAAAACATCACCAGACAACCACAGAGCCCGGAACGGCGTATATTAGTTGTAGAAAGCATCAAAATCCTGCTACCAGCCCTTATATGAAGAATCAGTTCAAATCCAGGGTATACATTGACCATTTTGAGACCTGAATTAATATGTTACAAATTGTGGAATTGAAACACTGACTGCATTTATGTGACTACATAGCAAATAAAATGACCATTTTGTGGCAGTATAAACCCCAGAAGTTGGGCAGAGACTCAACAAATTAAACGCAAAATAAATTTTGATTTTAAATGTGTACACACGATACCTCGTAAAAGCAATCCAGAGGTCTATTACTTGGGAACATAGAAACACATTTTACATGACCATGGGGTAAAAGCAATCCAAATCTTGAAATAAATATAAATTGATTATGAAAGTATACATTTTGTAATTTAATAGATATATTTTATTATGCATAATTATTAATATATTTAAAATATAATTATGACATTATACTTCAATTCAGTTCAATGATTGAACTACTAATCTTGCCCCAACTTCTTTTCAAGTTCACTATAGTGATTTGGGTTTCAAAACTTTGCATACATGTCTTTAAGTTGTTAAAAAACAAAAAAAAATAGTATTCACCTCTTTATTCTAATAAGATTAGCCTGAGAATCCAAAAAATGGATACTCAGAATTTACCCAGAAAGAAGATCAACGGTGGAGATTGAATGAGTGTATAATGAGATTCATATATATAATAAATCTCAATCACATGTAAATTCTGAATAAATTATGAATATATAATTCTAGATTTGTAGCATAACATCCTCATTTTTAATTTTTAAAGAACTTTCTGTCATCCATCCACTCTACTCCATCTTTCGAAAACTTATTTCACTATCACCACTCTCAGCCCTTCACTGTTGCCAACCGCCATTATCAACCCAGCCTCCCTCTTGCGAATCTCATTTTTCTGCAACCCTTCTCCGTGATGAATATCACATCTCTAAACATAATTCAGTAGGTGAAGTGATACTTCCTAAAAGTTCAAGGGGATAAAATAAAACATTTCGCTAATTAAACGTGCTCTGTTAATATCATTAAGGGATTTTACGATATAAATAATTTAAAAATTCAGTTTAAGATATCAAAGAGACACTTGACAATAATTTAGAAAGTACGTGTAAATATCACTTTACTTTTCTCAGTTTTCTTTGGTTGCCCAGTGGGCCTTTAATTTTGTTAAATTCAAATCCTAAAAGGGTAACAGCTCTTCCTTACACCTCTCAAGGTACCAAGAAGCTGGAAGTGCATTGAGAAATCAAAAATAGATAAATAAAGTACAATAAACAAAAGCGTGCCATCTGGCAAACCTAATCATCAAACTCAACACCACAGGCTACTCACCCTTAGAAAATTGGCTAAAAAATAGATAAAAATAAAAAATAAAAGTTTACCATATGTAGCAAACCTAGTCATCAAAAACTCAACATCCATCCAATCCTAGAAGGCCACAGGCTAGAAAGTTCTCATACAAACTCCTTGTGTGGAACTCACATTTGAAATCCGGCTCGTAAAGAGAAGGTGCCCAAGAGGCATTATATTCAGAAGGCCAAGCCCCTTTTGTTCCGATGTGGGATCGCAACAAGTTCATATTCTTTTTCATGTATTGAAATCACAAAGGATTCATTCATTAGCCATGAGCAATGTTTTTATCAAAAAAAAAACAAACCATGTCAACACAACTCTGTACAACAGGGTTCCACCAGAAGTTTGAAAAGAAAGCCAACAAAACCATCTTTTAATCTCAATTGTCAGTAGCAGCCTGTTTGATAATGTATGTCAGTTACCTATAAAATCATAGATGTGCAGTGAATGGATCTAGTCATACCCATCCGACTCATGCTTAACAAATTTTAATGATCATTTCCATTCTAACCCAAGGACTGAAATTTGCAACCTTCACTTACAGGCTTCGTCAATTCCAATTCACTGCAGAAGAAATGTGTGGGAGCTTGAATGCCAATTTTTTTTGCATAATGTCATTTCTGTTAGCAACAACATTTTCCATTAGAGTGATGGAAAGCCCAAATGCAATAAATAATGAAAAGACAAGTTGCTGTAAATCATAAACACACAGCTAATAACAAAAAAGAAAGTACCGGGTAACTTTTACTAAATCAATCCATTTTCCCTCTTTTTTTCTTTTTCTTCGGCAGATTTTATACCATAAAGTAGAATTATTCTTTTAGCATATGTTTATTAGCTTTCCTGATGAAGCAGAACTGTCATACACAGCCCTTCCCAAAGCTTTTAGAAATTCATCGCAGACATGTTGAGTTACGGATTCCATTTGCAAATGCTTACAGTCCAAAGACTCCAAACAAATGGGACTAGTGAATATGCTATAAAACAAAATACCTTTCTATTCACATTTTATTTGATTTTGGTGCTGCGCAAAAAAATCTTTCGCGTTACGTGCCACTTCTGCTTCCAAGATCGCTTCCAACATAATGTCAGACCCTTCGGCATTATCTGACACCAAAGTAACAGGTTATTTCTCTGTACAACAATGTGAATGCAAAAATGCAAGCACATGTACCATGCATAAAAAAATCCATCCATATGTATATAAGTTACCTGATGTATAAATAACATATGCACATACAGACACTGATCATGCAAACAAGCAATTACTGAAACAAATACTGCAAATGTATTAAGGTATGACATACTGTAGAATCATGAAAGTCTCATTACTATTGCAGCATAGATTGTACGCTACTGTAATGCCATATGTAACTGAGTAAGGCACACGAGCCCAGCCAATTCCTGAACTACTACTTACAGAATTTGATGACTACTTCTTACAGAATTTGATGTAATTTCCCTATACTACTTTTTTAATTCCTTAGTAAGTTACTCCCCTTCTATTTGAGAGGATCAAGAAATTACTTTGATGGAAGCATTAACATTTGAGTTTCCAAGCATGAGAACATGGATTCAAGTCTGAAGGCAGTCACTTCGTGCAAATAATGCAGAAGACTAGGTCCACCCTTCTCAGCACCATGCACTGGCAGGACCAACACTGGATAATAACCTTCATTCTACTTGAAAGACTGGAGGACTTGTCTTGAAGCATTTCCCATGTCCAGTTTCCAGATAACCAAAGACGTATAAGTCCAAGGATGGTGTCATAATCTAGGAAACTAAACTTCCCCAACCTTTACAGGACAGGCTATGGAGTTACTGAATCGAGTTAACTTCAGAGATGTCTGGCACTGTAAGATTAGAACAGTACAATAGAGAATGCAATGCAGATGGTAAATTGGAGATCTTGTCGCCATTTGGCCACATTGAGTTTCAGCGGATTCTATTTGTGGTTAAATATGCAGCATCATGCCTAGAGACGGTGACCTCTTCATATATCCTCAAGAGACGAAGGCCACTACTACACGCGTAAATTTAGTTGTGTTTGTGATGTTCAATTTCTTCCCGCTTGCAGGCTCCACACAATTGTATGCATGCTTTGCTGTTGTATCAACCTTCTTTTTGATTTTTTTTGTTGGGGATTAGGGGTCTTGAGGCTCAAATTCATTTCAGCAAGAACATCTCCTATTTTCCATGAATAATTTGGGAGACTTCAGGGTATTTTTATCTTCAGAAATTCAACATTCCTTGTGCATACCCTACTAAAGGAATATGGAAACATTTCCAGAGGTATTATCACTCTAACATAAACAAGCTTTCAATGAGGTGGTGAGGATCCAAATCTGGTCAATTATTCGTAAGAAATTGCAAACTTCTTCTCAGGTGGTTTTCGTTAATGGACTATAATATCAATATTTGATGATGAGTGATAGTTGATTGATCCTTTTTATTCTTATGCGCTGGACAATAATATCAAATAAATTGTCTCTCAAACTAAAAACTAATTATGGTCAAATGATACAAGTGTTTATTGGTTTTGTAAAACAGTGATATTTGATGAACAAGAAAGAAATAGCACGAGTTACAAGTTGCAGAGTAATGAATTAAGTAAACTCCCACAAAACTATATATTCTGTGGAAATTTAGAACACGTGTTTGGTGCCACCACATAGTTGGTTCAAACGTCTAACTCAATATGGATAGTGATTGGGTGGCTTTACAGGGAGCAGGACTACTTTTCCTTCAATGT